ACGCAAACTTATTGCACTTATTATTGGCGTTCATTAATAGCGTGTAAAACATTTGCCGCTAATTATAATCATTTGAATTATGGTTACAATGAATGCGGCAAAAGTTGGGTTCAAAGGGTTCGTCGCTTACATATGACTGCGATGACTGCAAACACCAGTGAATCCAATGATCGTAAGAGTGGTGACAATAGTGAAGACAATGTCATCAGATATACGACAAGTGATGCTCATCTCAAACACAAGTCCTACAGAAACTTCAGATGTAATCCATTGGCTCTCTCTCTCTCTCTCTCTCATACTAATGATATACTCGTTGATAGGGAGCGATGAGGAGGTGTTGGACACCCCATGGTATGAGCGGCCGATTCTGGTGCTGACGTCCGCCGTATTCTTCGTGTACTTCGCATACATTCGCGAACCCAATGATATGGACGCGAAGATGGGTAGAGATCTGTTTGAAGTGATGCCGGGTCTGGAGATACCGCTCATCGAGTCGGCCATCACTGAGGCCCAGCGTATGGGTTCAGACACCAGACAATTGAGACAAAGACTCAATGAACTGAAGGCTCTGAAGGCACGGGTGGATCAACTCGACCACAAACCTCACAACTGATCCCTTTGTCCGCAGACTACATTAATTTCCTTTAGAAATATCTGTAATTAACGACTCATTTGTATAGAAATATGTGAATAAAATTCATAAATTATAATAATGCATAGTCTAAACATTATTTTATAAAATTGTGCCAAATGAAGTGCCAAATGAAGTTTACTGTAAATCAAAACAATAATATAAATTACATTTTTTATTATTACAAAAAAATACTCATGACTTACCAAGTTTATAGTCAATATTCTCAGCTATTACTATATTTATTATAACTATCATAATCTTAATATGCAATAATATTATATTATACTTCATTATAATTTAATTTAATTTACTCTACTTAAAATATTTTAAGTAGACAACTTTTTAGTGAATATAACAATATGTAATGTCTACTACAGGAAATACTACAAGTTATAAAAATAGAATACAATTTAAATTAAAAACCTGTTGGACATATGGTATAAACCGACATATTTTAAACCTTTTTATTTTTAGATTAAACAATTTTAATCACGCATTTAATAAATGGGAATAAAAATTAAAAGCAAATTTAAAACTAATAAAATAAAATAGTTTTTCAAATAAAAAACTATATATTTATACTATCAATATTAATCTAAAAATTATATTATTATTAAAACATTATTATAAACTTTATATTATTTAAAATCATTTAGCGCTTATTGCTATAGCGTTGTGTAGGATACACCCGGGTACAATTAGTAGTATTTGTCGTACTAGTACTTGGTGCAGACCCTGATGTCCCTGGTTGATTTGGTTGCTGTGGACTCGTATACACCTCTAATTTCTTTTCAATTCTCGTTTTTATATTATTCACCATATTTTCCAACCTAGGTGCAACTTTTTTATAAACTAAAACACAATAATAAAAACATTATAACTTTAATTTTATCACGGTAACTTATTTTGTAAATACCTGAACTAGTTGTTTCATAAACAGCTTGGCCAAACATTTGAGTATAAGTTTTCTCTTGCTCATTATTCTCCTTTAATTTATCAGGGTACAAATAATTTTCTTTGACAGTATTATAAGTGATCTGACAATGAATAGCGTAAAGGTCGATGAAATTATCATATTGGGTCTCGGTCATTTCATTTAGTGAGTTTATCATGATCACATTCATATTATTTCTCAACATGGTAATAAAATCAAATTCGTTATATGAATTAAATTGTGGGAAAGATAAACTCACATAATTTGGACCTGATACATTTGATAATATCGGTGCCGGTATAGGCTGATTAACCCCGCAATAATAAATAACACGTTGCTTACTCAAAAAGTAACTAGCATATTTCGAGCACGTTACAGACTTAATACCATTCAGGTTGGGAATAAACTTTGGTTTATCAATGCACTGATCAGGCAAATTATGACCCAACATACCTTGATAATTATTACCCCAGCTATACACTAACCCCTCTGTAGTAATGGCAAATGATCGGCAATCGTAACAATAAACTTGGCCAATTATACCTTTCATAAACTCCAGTTTAACTCTACCGTAATTAATTTTACGATCCACCAACTTTCCGCACCCTAATTGACCGCTACTATTACCGCCCCACCCATACACCTGTCCACTATGGGTTAACACCAGGGTATGCTCAAACCCGCAACAAATCTGCTTGATAGGTTTATCATTAAAATACTCAAGCTTCTCGGGTTTAAAGTACACGCTGCCCTTGCTCAATTTTCTAGCCAATTGCCCACATGTATTGACTCCCCA